GGCTTGATTGAATCCATTTAATATCTTGAATTTTTCAGAGGTGTAAGCATACTTGACACTTAAGTACAAGGATATCTCTCAACAGATGGATAGACCCATTCAGATCCATCTTTCAGGAGTAAGGAGCAAGATGCATCCCCAAGCATCTCTGGACAAGAAAGGACAGTAAGTTCTATGGCACTCAGATGTTTTGCAAATCACAGAATTGCAGGGGTTGGAAGAGACCTCCAGAGATTGTTGAGTCCACCCCCCCTGCCAAAGCAGGTTCCCTATACCAGGTCGCACAAGTAGGTGTCCAGGCAGGTCTTGAATATCTCCAGAGGAGACTCCACAGCCTCCCTGGGCAGCCTATTCCAGTGCTCAATCCTCCGCTGTTTTCCAGTGAGCTACAGTCTTGCCCTGTTTTGGAAATGCTTTGTTTCCACCTTGCATGGACCTGGGAAAAAAGCATTACACACCTTCAAATATCACAATTCCATGAAAGAATTCTGGTTGTTGGTCTTGCATTTCACTTCAGACACCTTCCTTCCACTCCACATAATGCTAGCATACTGTAGTTGTAGTAAGAAATACAGTAGCCTCATTCTTCATTGCTTTTTTTTCACACTGTCAAACTTTCACATCTATTTATATAAATTTGCCACTGAAGGTACATAACATATTTTGCCTGTGTCAGTGGAAAAGCTAATGAAAAAATTTAAACCTGTTTTTATTGCCTGAATAAGAAAATTCTTCATGAGAAGTCATAAATATATAAAAAAATTTACTGACCCAAGAAAGCAGCAAGTCAATTCTCAAGATAAGTGTCCTATATTATCCATTATTTTTAACAATCTTCAAATAATTTTTGAACAGTGGTGAACTGTAACTTGTATACATAATGATGATACAAAGTTGTTTACTAGATTAAGTGAAGAGAAATGAAAGCAATTGTGAAGATGTTTCAGCAATGGTCATTTTTAAAGATGCGTAAAGCATACCATGCTAATGAAATTGAGTACTGAAGGAAGAGTATTGTTGTTTTGTGTGTGTGTGAAACAAATGATTTTTACAAAATCATTTATGCATTTTATTTTATTAATAAATTTATATATTATAAATACAGTATAAATACATTTATTTTATTAATACGAAAATATTAAATGTATACAAACTTAGTGAAAATGCAGCTTTACTAGGAATACATGTTCTGTGGCTTACCTCATATATTGCACTCAAATTTCATGAATGAGAATTTTAGAGATACTAGCTGCATATGCAAACTCACATGTTTGTTTAATTTTTGTCTTACATTTGCTTTATTTTTCACGTAAGCCAAAGTTCCTTTTAAGTATGAACATTTTCATTCTCTAGTGTCACTGAAGAAGCTGACATTTCAAAACAAGTGCAAAGTATTGTTGAACTGAACTTGGTTTATAGCCCAGTGGTGTACACAGTGATTCTCCAAGATCAATGAATGAAATATTGTGCTAAATAATCAATATTCATATCTAATGGGAAAATAGTAAATATGAACTTCACACATTTTCAATAGTTCTAACATTTATACTTACGTGAAAAGTGCATTGAGAATTATTGTAAATTTACATAAGGTATTGTAAATTTGGGGGGAACATTGTGAATATTGTGTTGTCTTAATTTATTCAAAGAAGAGCATCAGTAAAATGAAAACTAAAAAGGTACTACAATTCAGCTATAAATTTGATATGGCCTGTTTATGGGCCATGATTTATTTTATGGCATCAGCAAAGAAATGTTTTAACTGATTACATGAGGCAAAACCAGCTGGGATTTAAGATATCACAAATTTATCAAAGCTGATAGATTTATATAAGCCTGCATCTGAACATATATTAAATATGAACTCCAAATTATCATATCATCAAATCAATGAATTACAGTTCTGGATGTGTCTGGCAAAACTATTACACATAATGTAGACTATAATATACCCATGTCCTCTAAATACTGATAAGAGGGAATTTCTGCAACATATGATTTTGGTATTAATTATATTCTAAGAAATGGTTGAACATATTAAAAGCCATGGAATATTTTTTTAATCTGCATTTGGTTAAAATTTTCTGGCTGAAATCAGTAATAGAAGAATAATGTTGGTTTACAAGAAAATGTTTGCCTGACTAGAGCAACCTAACAATTGCAAGTTAATGAAGAGGTCTGGCTTAATTGCTTGATAATTTGCAGTTTACAAAGAGCCAGTGCAAGTAAAATAAAGAAAGGGTAGTCGGGTTTGTTGTTTCAAGGTATCTCCAAATGGAAACAACAGGTGCACAGAGGAATTTCTCTGCATCCTCAGTCATCTAAAGAATGCTTCCTATAACAACTCAGTATTTACAAGTAGCCTTGTGAAAAGCCCCGGAACTTGGAGAGAAGTTCTTTGTTCAGTATCAGCTATCAGTTCAGCATAAACGAGATGAAGCTTAGGATAAGGAAATTACTAACTTAAGCTGATGAGTACTCAGACAAGCATGTTAATAATTTGTCAAAGAGAATCAAAAAGACTCAAGAGAGTCTTTAAGGTTTGCTAGCATAGGCTAGCATCAGTAGCACTCAAGATAGCTGATACTGTATCAAGGAACAAAGGCTACCAGAAATAGTATTGTAGAAAATGCTTGTAGACTCAAGGAAGATCAAAACTATCCATGATGGTTTGTAGCTATCAAAGGCAGAGAAGTCTCAAAAAAAATTTCTTTCAGATCAGGTATTTCAGCCTGAGCACTGAAGAGTAGTAATTAATAATCATCATCTGTGATCCTGCTATCTATTTTATTTAAAATCTAGAATGCTCATTTTGTTTTGGTATGTACTTCTAAATGAGTGTAGGTGTCATTAGCACTTGACAGGGGAGGGCCATTCCATCTACTGTCCGTTGTCCCTAAGTCTGCTGTGTCCCCAAGCATGGTCAGAGCAACAAGACAACCCACTGCTTTTCCATCTCTGTTCTACCACTCCTCTTATAAGAAGACTGTCTTAGATTTATGGTTCTCACTTCATCAAGAAGCATAATGTCAGCCTGGAGCTGGCTGTGCCAGCAACTCAATGAGGGAAATATTGATATCAGTAACTGGAGATGTTCAAACTCATATAATGGGGAGGTTTTGTCATACCCAAATGCCTCCAAATGTTGTCAGCTTATAACTTTCAAGAATCAGGTTCTTGGATGGAAACAGCTCATAGAATTGGCTAAAAATATAATCCACAACAGTGTTAAAAAAGAGAGGAAAAAAATGAGCAAAGAAAATATAAGGTATAGGGCATGTTCATAAAATCAAAATATTTCTCGACTTTTGCTCTGACATTTACACCAGGTTGAACACAAGCTGTTTGTTTGTTTTGTTACCTGACATTGAAAGTACTGTCGGAAATGAATAAAATCCACAGAATTTCTGCAGCTAGTGTGCAAATACTCTTTTGGAACGGTAATATTCTTGGCATTTTTGAATTATAAAACCGTCTTCGGATTAGAAAAATGAGCAGCTTTGAAAGAGCAAGTTTGACAGCCTGAGGCCAAGTTCACAGAACTTTTCAAATTTGCTGCGGAGTGACAAATTTGCAAAACAGCAGAAATACCAGAATATATCTCAATAATGAGCAATATTGTCTTGTACTTTTCTCAATATCACCTCTAACATTGGCTGAAAAATCACTCCTTGAATAATGTATATGGAGAAAAATTTCTGTTGTTCCATGAATGCGCTGGCTAACATTTCTTTTATCATTCAGCCAGTAACTCAAATATTACTCATCTAAAAAGACCATAATGATCCTGTACACTTCTCAGGTAGTGATCAAGCACTTCTAATTGCTACATGAACATGAAGGGGAAGGGGACTCTCCAATGTCAGATCTATCTCTCTCTTTCTCTGTTGATTAAATCATGTCTAGGTGGATTTGTGTGGGTCACATATATGCAGGAATGATCTTGAAAGTTTTAAGAGTTTTTTATCCTCCTTTTGGTTATTAGAGAGAATCATCTGTGACACTGAGATTCTTTGTAGGACTCAACAGATGCCATAGTGTCTTTTAGTTAATTCACATAGCTTGCAATGTTTATTTTTTTGGACTGCAATTCATTTTAAGATGATGCATGAGCTTTACAGAATTTCTTCTGTGGTTTCCAGTTCTAAACTTGTCCACAGACTTCAACCTGTAAATTGCAGTGCTCTGTCCCTGACTCTACTCTGGGTATGGAGATGAGAATGCAGCTAACAGAGCAGCACTGCAGTGCCATACTTACCTACATTTGTTTTAATGTAGGTTAGCACACCTACCTTCCAAATTTTACATAATTATGATATATTGCATATCAGAACTCCTGGTCACTCAGGACTAGGCTTCTCTGAGGCACTTGAATCTACTGACCTGCAAGGGATGTTATTTCCTTCACTTTATCTTTTGTTTTTGCCCACACCTAGCTGTGATGCTCTGAGTAACAGCCCAATACCTTGACCTGAGGAGCTGAGTTCAATTGCTGCACAGCTCTTTAATTACCTTGGGAATAAAAGGCTTGTTTATTTTCCTAGCCTTAACTCACTCAAATGGAGTTGCCTTGTTCTTGGGTGTACCTTGTTTGTATACAGTGTAATGTATAGATTGAATAGATGTAATGTACATCTAGGGAGATGTATGTTGTTCAGGCTGTGTGCCTGGTTGGCAAAACCTAGGGAGTGAGAAAAGACAGAGCTGGTGTTAGCTGCCTGCCCCAATCCTCCAAAGGTGTGCTTGTGGGAAAAGGTAAAAAAAAAAAAAAAAAAAAAAAAAAAAAAAAAAAATTGCCACCATATTGCCTGGCCTTATGTAGGTTTTATAATGAAAGAGGCTATAGGTTTTGTATGACCTTTTCTCCTGTAATGTGCTTACTATTAGGATTCAGGAGGAAGTTACCCTTTAAGTTTGCAAACTGTTGATTTTTTTTTCATGCTTGAATAGGAGGTAGAAAAGAAGAAAAGAACTGAAAATAATACAGATGTTTTGTGAGGACAGAGGTGTTGTACTGCTTGGATAAAACAGTGGTGAGTATCAAAGACCCAAATACAGTAAAAACGCATTAGATTTGTATTAAATTAATTTCTCACTATTCTCCAAAGTTGATCTTTACTGCACTTAGTCTTAGCAGATGTATGGAATAGAGAAAGCAGATGTATAGAATGGAGAAACCAAATGGGATGTGACCAAGCGTGTTCTTAATTGATCTCTGCATTGATTTCCATGACTAGAAGGTAAGTCTAACAGTCCATAAGAATTTCAGGTTTTCATTATGCTATAATAAGTTGCTGAGGAGAATTGCACTCAATGGTCAGTTTTGGTGCCTAGCCTGTCCCTTGCCTCCTTCATGAATTTTGCCTGCTGTTTCTGTTACAATTTCAACAAAAAAATCACTGTGAAATATCTCTTGCATATCCACTATATGCCTAGTGAGAAAATAACTTTGGTAAAAAGTATGTTAATATCTCTTGGCAAGGCAGAAAAGAAAAGAAGTTGCATTTAGCCTAGAACCAAATTCTTCTCTTTTTTTTTTTTTTTTTTCCAGGCATAGGTCATCCATGTGACAACACAATCCTGTAAATGGGACTAACATCAGCAAATTGTATATATGACAATCAAGGTAATAGCAATACTGCCTGTGAGCTGTTTTAATATACGAGAGCAGGAATTTTTTTATCCCCAAGACTTATAAAGTATTCTTATGACGCAAACACTTGTTTGAGAAGGTTCATCCTTCTATTATTTTTCCCTTTGGACATTTTTAGGGAGGTTTGTGTCTCGCTGCTAGATTTCTAAAGCTAAAATGATACATCAAATTCTAAGTGATAGGAGAATGACAGTTAAATTAAAGTGATTCACTACATTAATTTTTATTTCAATTATATGGAAATATAATCTAGCCTAAGGAAATATGTGCAATTGCGCAGGGTCACAGAGTAACCCACTTCAGGTGCAAATTAACAAGTTACAAGTTATATCAAGTTAAGCAATGCTCTGCTGTAGAATTTTTGGGTATATATCACTCATAATTACTCTGGTTTGGGTTAAAGAAAGATTTTCCTTTTTTTTTTTTTTTTTTTTTTCCCCCCCAGAAGATTATTTGTCACTCTTTTGTCATTCCTTATTTTGGCTCTCTCAGTGTGCCCAACAGTCAGAATAACAGATATTGTTGTTTAGGAGGAGACTTTCTTAATGGTAATACTTTGCCTTTGCTGTGTAAAATCTATAAAATGCTTGACTGGAACAATACAATCAATAAAACATGCACTGAACTAGGGGTGGATAATAATATTTTCTTGGCAGTTCAGAAAGAAAAAGAAAAAAAAAGAAATGCACATTTGTGCCTGTGGCTGTCTGCAGTATTTGATGCTAACTGAAACTGTTTTTCCCTGAAACTCCATTCTCTTTGGAGCTTTCTATCTTCTTATACACCACCTCTCGGATGCAGTATAGTAATGTAACTCTTGCCCATTAGCTTTATTGCAGAAGAAGAAAGAATGTGTGGATTACCAGGATGTAACACTACATTACCTATTGTTGCCTCAGGTATTTTTACAATGAGGTTTTCTTTATGATATATAAAAGCTTGGAACATAATTTTGGAGTTGCAAATGAATTACAAATCAGCTTGAGAGTAAAAGATTTTGTGAGAAAGAAAGTTGGAATGAAAATAAGCAGAGAGCAGCAAGACAGGTGCTTTCCAAAGACCTCGATTATCTCAAAGTTGCTACACTTAGGAGGAAAAGCTGTAAAATAGAGTTATTGATTATAAAATCAATTCATTCTTTGATGCAAGAAAGCACACCTTAGTATGCTATAAATATATCTGAAACTAAATCTCTCAAATGGGAAAACAGACAAAAAAGAAAAGTTAATGCAATCTGAAATATTATGGAAAAGTTATGAGTAAGAAGCCTGGTATTTAACATGCAAGAATACATAGTTAGAAACCAGAAACAGTCATTCATCAGGCATCTGCCACCCAAGCCTTGAAAATGGTTTGATCTATACATCCAAGGGTGAGAAAAAGGAGATTTTTTTTTTTGCCTAAATATGCCTTAGTATGAGCCTTGGGAATCTATGACTGTAAGCATGACTTGCTTAGTTACTGTACTGCCATGAGTTTTCATCACTTTCAAGTGACTCTCAAATTTCTGATATATTTTGTTCTATATCTGAGTCTCCACATTCACTTTTTGGTTTTGTGATATAATAGGAAATATAGTTGGGCAAGGATGAAAAACCATGTAGAGGATGATATGAGGGTCAGCCTGGATGTGGATAGTTTTTATAATATTCAGAAATGCAAGATGACAAAGCTGTAACCTTGACCATTGTTCTGGGAGTGCTTGGTGGGGAAGATGCATTAAAAATAGATTTCACAGACATAGAGACAGCAAGTCAAATATTAGGAGTGTTAATGTCCAGAATCTGCAGATTGACATCTTTTTTCCAGTGTCAAAATGAGAAAAACAATTCTTGATTCTTTTCCCAACATTTGGAATTCTGGATGTTATTTGTAGCTTAGTTTAAGCAGGCCCTATGGCAAGTTATTTCACTTGAGTTGTAGCCCCTACCTATACTCTGAGGCTAATTATGAAATCCTGGAAAGACTGACTCTACTGTGAGAGCGACTTGAAAACAGTTAAGGCCATACTTCCTAAAAAACAAACATGAGAAAGCATAAGAAAGATAATCCTAAAATGATCAGATAAAAGAGATAGTATTGCAGTTCTAGCAACCTTAAATCAAAAGGAATGACAACGGCAATGAGAGGGAAGAAAAAGACCAAACTTCAAGCACAGCTTGAGAAATTGTCTTCTGGGCATGTCATACTGTCTCTGGAAGATGCTCAGGGGGATTGCATTTTTCCTTTATTTAGGAAAAATTTGTTCTAGTTTGTCATACTGATAAAGGTGCATTAGAGTAGTCTGAATTCAAATTGACAGTTATGTCATGAGAATTTTGAAAGTCAAGAATTAAACTTGATATCCAAAAGCTGGGTGTCCCACATAAACCTGATTTCCTGATCTGTGGTGTGAAGATGAAGTTTATCCTGAAGAAGTTATCAGTAAGTGTGGTAAATTGGGAAAGAGGCTGCAAGGCTTCTGTGGAGGGAAATGCTGCCTTGATGACCCATGGGAGTTCCAGAAGAATGCTATTATGGTCCGAGGTGATATTCTCTTCCTCCTCCCTGGCGAGAGTTGGTCTGGTGGAGTTAATATATCATATTGGTCATTTCAAGAAGCCTTTAAACACATGATTTTATTGAAGATTTTTTAAAGAAACAAAATTGCCATGGAACTTGAAGACTGTTTTATTGGCTGAAGATTATTAATGATTGGGAAACAAAAAATTAGTCTTAATGATCTTCTTTCATGATGGGGAAGAATCAGTGCTGCAAGTGGTTTTATTCAATAACATCACTGATGACTTGGAAAATAAACCAACTGTGAAATCTCAAGTTTATAGATAATGCTGATGTCTATCAAGCAATCGTATTCTTTCAAAAGAACTTCAGAAAATCATCTTCATAAGAGATTGATTCTATCAGTAAAAGAGTGGCAGATGAGCTTCAGTGCTGCCAAAGGAGAGACAAAGAGAAAATAATTTGAAATCTGCTGACCTGGGGCTGAACTTAGTACTGGTGGTGACACCTCAGGCTGTTGGAGCTGTCATCAATGGTTCTCTGAAATCCTCATCTTACTGTGTAATGGCAACCAAAAAGCGAACATAACTCTGAGCATTCTTAAGAGAAAGAAAAAAAAAAAAAAAAAGGGGGGGGGTGGGGACATCACATTGCCGTTATTCTGCCAATAGAAGTACAGCCCTAGGCACCTGCTCTTGAGTACTACAAAGATACGAGGACACAAAAGAGTTAGAAAAGGCGCAGGAAGGACAGCAAAATGATCAAGAGAATGGAGCAACTGCCTTGCAAGGAGAGATTAAAAAGTGTAGAGCATTAAATATCAATTAGGAGGAAAAATCTTTCCGTACTAATAAAATTTTGGATTTGTCTGTCACTTAAGGAGTAAAAAGCATGAAAAAATTGCCTTAGGAATAGCAGAGTCCACGTGGCAACACCTCTTAGTGATACTAGAACGTTTAATATCACCTTTAAAAAAATAAACAAGTCATTGGATTTTTTTTCCAAAACTTTTGCCTTATGCTGTTTAATGAAACCATCCACACCAAAAAGTGTCCATCCTATATGTCTTCTTAATTTACATAATAGTAGGTAGATCAGATGTTTTTTTTTTTTTAGTATGACACTAAAATTTGAGAAAGTTCATGTTTTCTAGTGAGATGCTTCAGGTACTAAATGAAGATCCAAATTCAAACTATTTTGCCTGGATCAAGCAGAGTACAGAGCTGAACTGGATTCCCAAGTTATATCCTGATCCACAAGGCTGTACAACAGCACGTGCATATTTTTCAGTGGAGGAGTTGGGGTTTCAATCCATATTCATTCTTTCTTTAGTATATTTCCAACAATTTTAATTTGAAGTAAAACAAAATAGTTTTTATTCTCCATGAAAATAACTTCAGTTTTCAGCTAATAAAAAATGAAATTGCCACCTTCCTGCCAAGAAATACCAGATCACAGCCTGAAGCAAAGCTCTCTTCTGTTCCTGGGCATACAGATGCCTTCAGTACTGGATTCCCAGTGGAGATGATGATATTGAATATATGAAGTATTGGAGCTCCAGGTCTCTGAGAAAACTTCTAAAAATTGTGCTTCATGTTTGTGGTGATGAGAGAACTTGCCTTTTAAGGTTATCACAATGATCTGTTAGCTAGCAGCAAATAATTGTGGGCAATTTTCTTAAGATAAATAAACAAATAAATAATGGTGGGAAGAAACCATTCTCTGTATCTGTCAAAGAGCCTTTTATTTTGGCTTTACTGGTTTACCCAGCAAAAAGCATGTGAGAGTATGAAGTCTGTCGCAGTTAATATTTCAAGCTAGATTCTTTAATGCAATAATCAAACAGATGTTACAGCAGCATAAACAGACATGAGCAATTAGTTAAAATGAAAATGATTTCTGTGACCAAAAGAAATAAACCAGTGTCCAGGATAAGAGAAATTATTGCTTGTCAGAATGACAGCTGACGACTTTAGTTATTTGTGTTTTATCTCCAGCAGAACTGTCTATCCTGTTGAGATTTTCTACTTCAGCAAGGATTGCAGATTAGGTGGATATTCAACATTCATCCCTACTTTTCCAGACTGAATAGATTGACTTTCTTGTTACCAAAAGAAAAGAGGATGAAAAATTGTTTTTACCAGTGATTGTGGAAGAAGTCTTGAAGCGACTAACTAGATTCCTTATCTGCTAAGTACCAGGTAATTATAATGGAACATTCTTTTGAAATACAGAATGGAAACTGTTCCCAAGTGGTATGATGAGCAACAATGACAATGACAATACTTCTTGGCATCAAAGGACCAAATTCAGTTTTACACCTGTGTATTAGATCCAGGTCAGACACACAGTAGACCTAAGACTGTAGGAATGTACATACATGCTTGCAACTGTCTAGGGCTTGTATTATTAAAGAGACGGTTGCAAGCAATTTTTTTTTCTTTACGTAAAAATGCTTTCAGTCACCAGCCC